CTCCCCCCCTCCCCCTCCTCCGCCAGATCCCTCTCCAGCCTCTGCCTCTGCCTAAACGCCGCCACGTGCGGATCCGTCTGCGAGGCTGACTCTGCGCCGCGCGCCTGGGCGAGCAGCGCACGGCGGCGGCGGCGGCCTTGCTGGCGGCGGGAGCGCGCCCACTGCGTGACGAGGTCGAGGAGGGGGATGCCGCTGGGCGGGGAGCTGGCGTCGTCGTCGCTGTCGACCGGGGAGGACGTGTTGTCGGAGTCGTGGGCCGTTGCGATCGTGGTGGTCTTGGGCCGCATGCTTCAAGTCAACTCTGTAATTATGTTCACGCACATACAAGTTTGTCTCGGTATGGAAAACCAGTCAAGGTTTCACAGCAGGGCGTTGAAGTAGTGGCAGCCGACTCAGGTTCCCTTTGAGCATGTGTCTGATGGCGTATCAATTCTCCCGGTACTGGTTGTCTGGTCTTTGTTCTTCAGAACCGCCGACTTCGTTCACTGACATGCTGCCAACAGAGCTGCTGTTTGTTAAACAAACGACTCACCGGCAATTCCCTCGCCAGCATTTGGCTTCACACGACGCGGTCAGCAACCATCGAGGTTCCTCAGCAATCTACCTTGCATTCTCTTGGGCGGCACCATGGCCTGGCCCTCTGTCCTATCGTACTGACCGTGTTCTGGTCGTGGAATACCATCGTCCCAGGCGCCAACTATTATGTGAGCCCGGTGTCCGATGGCGTCCCGATATGTCTGTTCCTTTCACTCCGCAAATTGATCCCTCATCCAGTTCCTTTATCCGCCCCCACCGGCTCGAACAAACATGACGCGCAAGATGCCCCCGCCGTACAGTTAATCAGTCCTAAACGCCTGCCCGTGGATCCCGTTGCCTGGTTCCCTAAAGCAACCCAAGTGCCAGTCAAAAAGATCAGCGCCTCGATCTCGAGGAAGGAATGGCGCTCGGCTGGTCATCCATGCAACTCGCCACCCGCAACAAAGGAAACCCAAACGCCGTTCGGACCCAGCCCAAAGAAAAAGCAGAGCGCGTCATTAAAACATGTAGCCGTGGGGCGCAGTAAGAGGGTATGTAGTTGTAGTAATAGTCAGAATGCGCTGTCGTTTTGTATCGCGTAGTTTCAACGTTGAGGGTCTCGCTGGCTTCAAGTCGACCCATGAGAAGGGATGCTCCGCGGTGTAACATCGCCGCTCCGTCGTCGTGCCGCCTGCAGCTGAGCTTGTTGCTCCTTGTTGTTGGCCTCGACAATCATTTGCTGCTTCTTCGTCACCGATGCCAGTCGGCCAGTAATCATCTTGATCACTGCCACGCATGTCAGCACGCGCAGCACTATGAGGGAATAATCAGGGGCGAGCTTACTCTTCCGCACGTGGGCCTCCTCGTCACTGTCGAGGTCGCCTCCATTCTCTAGGGAGCCGCGGGCGACCTCCTTGCCATTCGCAAGCCTCCTGCCCACGGCGTCGTCGTCGCTCTCCAGCACCGCTTCCAACATGCGAATGGCCGTGATGTACGAAATCTTGCAGCCCGGCAAGTTCTCATTGGTCACCTCGTCAATCGCGGCCGCGCGGCTCATCTCCAAGGCGCGGTCGTACATGAGCTTCTCGGCACTGATGCCGGGCGTGAGGTAGACCTGCTTCGCGGCAGATCCCGACGATGATACGATCGAGTCCTCACCGTGATTTGCCGGATGGCTGGGGTGATCCTCGGGCAGCAGCTTCTGGGCCTCCAGGAGCTTGAGACGGACAATCTCCGACTTCTCCAGGACTTCGTTGAAGCGTTGTCGCACCCACTGCACGATGGCATTGATCTTTTGCGCGACATGCTCAGACACGGCGGCAGAGACTCCCGTCGCCACGGCACCGCGGCTCTTCTTGGACCACCACACGCTGGCAATGTCCATGGCCCGGGCGAGCAGCGTCAGCGACTTGACGTACAGGACGAGAGCCTCCTCGGACAGGGAAACAATCGCCTCAACCGTCAAGCCATCTTCCTCGTCCGCGAGCTGATCCATGGGGACACCGCCAAGCCCGTGGTCCATGGACGGTGCCAGCGGGACCAGCTGCTTGTACTTGACTTCGGCGAAGCCATACACGCAGTCGCTCCGCTCGGCGTACTCTTCCATGGCGTCCTTGGCGCGCACGTCCTCGTCGGCGGACGGGCTGCTCTTGCCGTCACCGAGCAGGCCTGCGGGTGCAGAAGGCGTGGGATAGGCCGGGAAAGGTTGGTACATGGGCGGCGAGTGGCCCTTGGCACCACGGACTGGTGCCATCTTGAAGCCGAAGAGCCTGAGGCTGGCATCTTGAATCGCCTTTGTGATGGCGCTCGACGCCGAGCTCGGGCTGGAGCTGAGGGCCTTTTCGTACGACGAGCGCTTGTCTTGTCCTGCTCGGCCTTGTGCGACCAAGGCAGTCTGCGAGGCTGGCGTGGGGATGGCACCCGTGGTCGACGTCGGCGCCCCCTGTTGGGTGCTCCGCCGTACCATCTGTTGGCCCCGTTGCATGCCGGGCACTTGGTTGGCAGCCAGCTCGTCCGCGAGGGCATTGACTTCAACGTGCCTCCGCTCGACCAAGACATAGTCCCGCTCGAACATGACGTCCTGGGCTGCCTGCTCTTCCTCCGAGGCTTCGCGATTGACGGCGGGCGGCCGCCTTACATCTGTCGGGCTCACGCCGGGCGTCACAACGCGGTCGCGAGATGGCCTGGTCGTCAGATGTGGTTGATAGTTTGGTGTCGAAACGGTATGTTGCGGCGTCGGGCGCTGAATTCCTAGGCCCTCACCGCCATTCCGTGGGGACTCGCTCAGTCGGTGCACGTCACCGGTTTGCCGTCGGTATCGGCCATCACCGGGGCTGCCGGTCTGAGGCGACCGCGGCGCCGCGTCTCGCGGGGACCTTGATGAGCCAGCGTCGCGAGGAATGAAGTCATGTCCTGTGCCGCGGCTCGGGCCTGGTGACCGTGGTGAAGGCAGGGCCTCCCCTTGAGGAATCGTCTCCAGTTCTCGCTTGGGTGGCGGCTTCGGAATGTCGTCCTCTACTAGGCCCGGGATGTCGTTGGTGACTACAGGGTGCGCGAAAAAGTTCTCAAAGCTCAATCGCTCAACCGGGCTCCTCTTGAGAAGGCTCCGTACGAGGGCCTTCATCTCGGAGCTCACGACGACCTCGCGGGGAAACTTGATGACGTCCTCGGCGGCCTCGATCTTGCGCAGCAGTTCCACGTGGTTCCTGGCCCGGAAGGGGGGCCTGCCTGTGATCATCTCGTAAAGGACGGTGCCCACTGACCACAAGTCCGCCTTGGCATCGTACCGCTCATACCGCAGGATCTCGGGCGCCATGTAAAGTGGTGAGCCGCACAGAGTGTCGGCCAGCGACGTCGACGGCAGCACCCGCGCGAAGCCAAAGTCGGCCAGCTTGAGCATCGGCAGCGATGTAAGTCCGGAGACGGGAATCAGTGAGTCCTGGCTGGCCGACAAAATGTGGAACTGCCGTTGATCCCTAAAGGAGCGCGAGGGCAACAATAAGAGATTTTGGGGCTTGACATCGCGATGGACGTAGTTGTTGCTCCTGAGAAACTCGAGAGCACTTGATAGCTGCTTCAGAAAGTGGCGAATGACAACCTCATGCAGCCCAGAGTTGGGGGCTACCGGGTACTTGCGAGCCATGTCATGCGTGGCGGGATGTGTGATGAGCTTGTCTCGCTTCTTGATGAACAAGGAGAGATCCCCCAGCTCGCAGTACTCCATGATGAGATTGATGTGCGTGGACGACTCGACACAGTCATGGAGGGCGACGATGTGAGGATGCCGCAGAGACTTGAGGATCTGAATCTCCCCAAACAGGTTCTCCTTAAGCTTCTTGTTCAACCGGGCGAGTTCGACCGACTTGATGGCGACGGCAGCTTTGGACTCCTGCAGCAGAAGCGAGGCACAATTAGCACACAATGCCAGAACAGACCGAAGCGGCTGCGATGAGCTGGCGCGGGCAAGGACATCAGACTGGCCATAGCTAGGCGTCCTTGCACAGCGGCAGTCCGCGAGGGGGGCGAGAGAGAGCGCACCTTGTGCCATCCCATGTAGACTTGGGCGAAGCTGCCCTTGCCGATTTCCTTGTCGATGACAAACTGGCCGATGTTGCGCCCGCTCGACTTCCGGGAGCCGGGGGGCTGGCCCTCCTGCCGACTCGCCATGGCTTCCTGTGATGTCAGTGCCTCGTTGTCGATGGCAGGAAGTGCAGCGGAGGTCGATCGCAGCCCGAGGGCCTACAAGGTGTGGAGGGGACGGGCAGCGGTTCGCGTCGTCATGTAATCGATGCGTCGGAAGGTAGGACTTGCAGATGGCCGCAGCAAGCGATCGAGGGCGGTTGAACCTCGAGGAACAGGCGCCGGGGTGGTTGGAACGGTCGGGGGGACGGCAAGGCAGAAGCGGATCGAAGGAGGCAGCAGCGTCAACGGGTCAGGGTTGGCGGTCACCTCGTACCGGAAGTGCCAGTGCCAGACGCAACTTGGGTATTAGTCGACAGCAGGCAGGGTTGTCGACACGGCGGCGGCAGGTATCCGATAGGATGACGGGTGTGGGAGCACAGGAGGCTGAATGAGGATGGATGGTCAGTGGCCGCCGATGGGACGGGGTTGCAAGGAGGGATGAATGGAGCGATGCCTCGAGAGTCTGGGGGAGCGGCAGGGTGCGCGCATCGCCTGTGCAACTCTGGGGAAGGACGGGGGCAGGACGGGCGAACTGGGCAGACGAGGCGAGACGTTGGTTGCTTTTTGGAAGCCGTCTGCGATGTTCGGGGGCCGGAGGAGCAAGGATGGAGGGGAGGGAGCGGGAGTGACTAACACCAAGGCAAGACACCGGCGGAGATCGATGTCGACGTCGATGGGATGGGCGGCGGCGGAGGGTGGCGCGACCTAGAGGCTGCTCTGGTCGCTGGCTTGCGGTACCGCGTGTGTGGGTGACGAAGTTGAGGAAGTTCGATGCGACAGCTGTTCGGGCAGCTCCCAGCACCCTGATGGACGACGACGAACGGGTTGTTGAGTTGAGGAGCGTTTGCCGGGACGAAGGCGACGGGCAGCACGGGCGATGGAGAGCAGGGTCGTCGCTGACACAGGACCGACCAGGACAAGGGCAGAATGCTCCGTAGTCTGTAGGCACGAGTCCTGGGCTGGGCTGGGCCGGGCTGGGGGGTGGGAGTCAGATGCACGGGCAGTGCGCGCCCGAGCTGGCGCGTGGACGAGGCGTCGGGGTCGGCGTCGTTCGCGCGCTTTGGCCCAGAGCGGTAGGCGGTCGATCGACCCTCATCAACCCACGCTCGGGACTGATGGGGGGAGGGGGAGGGCGGCGCGCGTGGCAGGGGACGTGGGACCGCCGCTGGGCTGGGCTGGGCTGGGCTGGCTGGCTGCGTGCTGGGATGTGATGGGACGGGCAGGCCCACCTACACGGTCGCAGTCATGGACGTATGACGGGTCGAGGCGAAGGAGGGAGGAGACGGAGGGCGGGGCGGGCGTTCTCGAAGACGGACGAGTCGACGACGACGACGACGACGATACGACGATGAAGAAGGGGAAGCCGGGAGGAGGCGGAGGAGGCGGTTCGAGAGAATAGGAGCAGTTGTAGAGCCCGAGGGGGGAGGACTCGGAAGATGGAAACAAGTGTGTGGTCGAACGGGACGGCCGATGATGGAAGAAGAATGGGCGAGTCAATCAATCAAATCAACGGGCTTGACTGAATGACTGACAGCCGGACTGACAGACGACATCGGGACGCCTGCTGCTGGTAGGCGGTGGTGGTGGAGGTGGCGGCGGTCGGTGGTCTGTCTTGTCTGAGGTACCTACCTTAGGTTAGGTACGGGCGGGCAGGTGGTGGTGGCATCAGTGGCCACACCCATGCCATCCCAGTCAATCAAGCAATCAATCACCCCGTCAGTGGGTTGGCTGGCTGCGTCTGGCGTCTTGCCGTTCCAGTGAGAGGCGCCTGAGCAGTGCGCCCCGTGATGCATCAATGCGCCTGGGGGACCGCCTAAAACGGCCCACTGCGTTGGCGCTGCGCACCTCTGCTCCGGGCTCCCGCCAGCTCACCTGAGTGCCGGGACACGGGCACTTTCAGGCTCTGGCGCTTCTCTGTTGGCATGGGTCAACGCACCCGAGGCTCACTGACGACACACTGACTTGCTTGGGCTCCCCCCCACCCGACCCCCAGCGCGCTAGCCGGAGGTCCCGCGCGCGCGCCCAAGCGACCCCGAGTCCCTCGTCCTCCTTCCCCCGCGACAGCAGCCGGGTCGTGGGACCCGAATGGAAGTGCCATGATGAGGTGTGCATGGCGACATCCATGGCGCCATGGCCGGCCGGCTGTGTAGCCGTTGAGTCTCGCACTAACACAGTCCACAGACATTGCCGTGCGATGATCCTTACGAAGCTACATTTGGGATACCGGTAGGACCCTCCGAGCTGCAGCTCCCCGTCTATCAATGATCCCGTCAGTGGTGCTCGCGCCTCTGGGCCGCTACGTGTGCACAGGTGTCCGCCCGCCGTTCCACGTTAGCACCGACCTTATCGGGGAGGCGAAGGAGGGCCGTCGCTGCGATGTGGACGCTGAAAGTGCCTGGGCGCTGGGAGCACCGTGCATGGCACCTCATGGAATCTTACCTCGGAGCAGTGGCTGCACCTCAGATTAGGCTCTAATCGACGCCTGGCATTTGCGAGTGGGCGAGTCGCGCGCCATGGAGGGTGGCGATAAGACTCATCCCATCCATGATCCGTCAGCGATAACGGCTCTTAGCTTACCTTACCTTACCTTACCAACAACACCGGAAGTAGCAGTAGCAGTAGCAGTGCCAGCGCCCGGCTACTCCGTCGCCATCCCCATCGTCGCCTCCCTCGGCTTATGAATCTGTTTTTAGATGCTCGTCTATCGCACGTACGCAGCAGGGGAGAAGCTTCTCGCGCCTGCTAAGTACTGCTCCTGCTACTGCTACTCGGGCCCTGTCCGATGCATGTGGGGGCACAGAGAGAGAGAGCGCGAGAGAGAGGCGCAGAGCAAGGCGAGTAGCAGCAGCATGGAACATAGCGCGGCACTCCGAGGCCCAGACATGACGTGCCCGTCACGGGGACCATTTATTTGCCCATCATCGCGAAAGCACGCACCGCCAACCGCCCACGCGTGCCGTTCGCCCACCACCCGTCTCCCCGATCCCGCCATCGGCCACTGGCCTGGCGAGCTCGTTCTCGTCATCCCCGTCATGGTTTGCGCCTCACGTCCAGCGCCCCCGCAAAAGGCTATACCTCTCACTGCACTTGGCCGAGCTGGGCAACCCGCCACTCCAGCCAGCCCGGGTGCCCCAGAGCTGGACGATACGATTCCCATGTTCATGGGCCCGTCCTGACCTGCCATGTACGTGTGTGTGTGCCTTTGCCCGGTTGTGAGAGTACATTGGTTATCACGCGGGCTTAGAGGTGGCCCATCCCCCCTTGGACGCTAGCAGCAGCTGGCATGCGGGGGAGAATCAACCCAAAAAGCCAAAACCGACGCCTGTGACGTCCGTGGTCGCGGGTCGCCGCGATACGAGCGGCGTCGCGCCGCCGCCGCGGGCCGGCGAGCAAATGTCCCTATGTCCGTACGCACAAAGTATGTGTAGACGACGACAGCTGCACTCATTCGCTCGTCATCGCCGCATCCAGCAGGTCCTGTCTTCGTCCACGGGTCCACGATGAGGAAAACCAACGCCCCCCACGCTGGGTCGGTCCTGCCGGACTACTGGTTCCCCTCTCACCGAGCGATGCGGGCGGAAATCCAAAGTGTATAAAAGGGTCTTGCCGCGGGCGTGCGTGCGTGCGTGTGCCTGACCGACCGACCGGCCGGCAGGGAGATACGTGGGCCGGCTTGATTTGATTCAAGGGCCCCCCCTCCCTTCTCGGGAAAGCAAACCAACGGCAACCCCCTTTCTTCCAGATATCTAGTATGTAGGCAGGAGCTAGGGCAAGAGACACGTACGAAGTACACGACCCTTGACGAGGTGTGATGGTGGTGGTGGTGGTGGTGGTGCTGGAGGTGGTGGCCTGCATCTGCATCGCGCCCGTCTGGGCAGGGCACCCTATCAGTGTCGGCGTCGCGGCCATGCGCGCCTCCTCGTCGTCGTTCGGCACCGCGCTGCTGCGGTTTCTACGCACAGGAGGGGGCCCCGGCCACAGATCTCCAGATACAGGAACCCGACGTTGGTTTGGTCGTGCGCGTGCGGTGCGTGTGGGTGGATGGTGGCACGCCTGTCTTGTCTCAGCGTGTGCGTGCGTCTGCGTCTGCATCTGCATCTGCGCCTGCGGCCTGCGGCCTGCACCCGGATGGAGTCACAGCGTCTCCCTGGCTCCCTTCACGATGACTCCCTCCCCGCCCTTCTTCACGAAGCAGCTCGCAAAGAGTCAAGACGCCGTGCTTGGTGCCTGCGCCATACATGCACTGCGCAGCACAGTATGCGCGTGTGTGGATGCCTGGCTGATTCACCTGCATCGTCGTCGACGACGAGGACGACCCGGGTTGCATGATACACACATCATCCATCCATGTCGCAGCATGCCACCGCCGCCGTCGCCGCCTCATGCATCCCAGCCAGCCATCCCGCCGCCCACTCGCCAGCCCGTCCTCGCCCAGGCAGCGAATAATCCCTTCGCAATGGGCAATGGGCGAACGACGACCCCCCAGCCGGAGAGAAAAGAGACTCGGAGCGAAGAGCTCGCCCTCTGTCGCACGCACGAATACGAAGGATGACTGGCTGGCACGCAGCTCGCGCCGCAGCTGACGTTCTCCCCAACTTGGGCACGAAGACATCATCACCTGACCACCCATACATCATCATCCCGGATGCTCTCTTCTCCCTTCCGCGCACGATCCGCTACCTCCCGTGACGCTGCTTCCATTCGCTCGGATATCCCGACGCGTCGTTTCCGCGACCCCGTGCCTG